CGCGTCCTCCAGGCATGTCCCCCTGTCAATTAGCTCTGGGGCAGCTACTATGTGTTCAGGCAGCTCGAGCTTAAGATCCAGATCAGTTCGGTTAGGACTCGGATGCAAAGGAAGACTCGATCCACGACGCTATAGAGCACAACCGCGGCATGGCACATCGCAATTCAGCACAGTGCAGCACAGCACAGCCCTCGGCACGGTACATCAAGATCGATACAATCAGCATTGCACTTGCCCGTCACCCAATTAGGTGTCTTTGAAAACGTTGCCATGCGTTACATTTCTATCTTCCTTTCCGGGTTCGTGGGTCGATCATGTTTCGGAGCCTCGGATCGTTGGGCGCCGCGCAGCGCGGAGCGCCAGGTTGTGTTATGCGGGCGGTCTTGGCGCGCCCGCGCCCCAGCAAGGACCCGTCGACGTGGTGCTGGACAAGGGCACGGCGGACGCCCTCGACAGCCGGGACGAACAGGAGCCGAGGAAACGCAGGAGTTCTGAGGCGGGATTTTCGTATATTTACAATGACCTCAGAGTAGGAAAAAAGTACCCATACCGTGACCTTTCCTCGTTCGCCTGTTTGGGTCTCCTGGGAGGCTCTCGTGGCAAATCCCTTGTGTTTTTGGACCCTGACCCCGCCGATCTGCCTGAAGGGTGTCACCAAATTTTAGAACTGTGGCAAATCCCATGTGTTTTTGGACCCTGACCCCGCCGATCTGTGTGAGGGGTGCCACCGAATTTCAGACATGTGGCAAATCCCATGTTTTTTCCCGGAAAGGGCTTGAGCCCAGGGTTCTCTTTTAGATGGTTTCCCCCCGGGTTTGACGGGAAGAGGGCCGGCGAATTTCTTTTGCGATAAATAACGAGTGGGAAGAGGGCCGGCGAATTAAAAATTGAGGATGTCCCTAGCGAAACGCTTGTTTTTCATAATTTGTTGAGGATGTCTCGAGCGAAACGCTGGTTTTGTGTTATAGGTTGTCCTCTCCTGGGGACCTCAATTCTGAGGATCTCTCAAGTGGATTGCTTGTTTTCACGTGCCCAGGTCTTGAGGATGTCTCGAGCGAGACGCCTCCAGGTGGCCCAGACAGATGTCTAGCATGAGGATTTGTTGAGGATGTCTCGAACCAGAGGCTTGTTTTCACGTGCCCAGGTCGCCCAGGCGGATGTCTAGCATGAGCATTTGTTGAGGATGTCTCGAGCGAGACGCCTGTTTGCACGTGTCCAGGTTGCCCAGCGACGATGTCTAGCATGCGGATGTGTTGACAACGTCTTGAGCGAAACGCGTGTTTTCATGTGTTCAGGTCGCCCAGGCACGGCACAGCCCTCGGCACGGTACATCAATATCGATACCCTTAGCATTGCAGCCTGGCATGCTGCCTGGCACGTTCCGCGGAGCGTCCCGTGGCGAGTCCCCCTGGCACGTCGCGCGGTGCACGTCCATTGGCACGTTCCGTAGCGCGTCCCCTTGGCACGTCCCGCGGTGCGTGCCCATGGCACGTCCCCTGGCACGTCGCCTGGCGCGTCCCTTCGGACGTTCCGCAGCGCGTCCTCATGGCATGTTCCCTCTGTCGATTAGTTCTGGGGCAGCTACCATCTGCTCAGGCAGCTCGAGCTTACGATCCAGATCAGTTCGGTGAGGACTCGGATGCCAGGGAGGACTCGATCCACGACGCTATATAGAGCACAATCGCGGCATGGCACATCACAGTTCAGCACGGCCCAGCACAGCACAGCCGTCGGCACGGTACATCAAGATCGATACACTCAGCTATGCACCTTGGCACGTTCCTTGGCGCGTTCCGTGGCGAGTCCACCTGGCACGTCGCGCGGCGCGTCCCCTGGCACGTCCCTCGGCACGTCCATTGGCACGTTCCGTAGCGCGTCCCCTTGGCACGTCCCGCGGTGCGTCCCCATGGCACGTCCCCTGGCACGTCGCCTGGCGCGTCCCTTGGGACGTTCCGCGGCGCGTCCTCCTGGCATGTTCCCTCTGTCGATTAGTTCTGGGGCAGCTACCATCTGCTTAGGCAGCTCGAGCTTACGCTCCAGATCAGTTCGGTGAGGACTCGGATGCCAGGGAGGACTCGATCCACAACGCTATATATATATAGAGCTCGCGGCATGGCACATCGCAGTTCAGCACGGCGTAGCACAGCACAGCCCTCGGCACAGTACATCATCATCATCGATACATTCAGCATTGCATGTGTTCGTCGCCCAATCAGGTGTCTTTGAAATGTTGCGATGCCTTACATGTCTATATTCCTTTCCGGGTTCGTGGGTCGATCATGTTTTTACCTTGACCCCGCCGATCTGCGTGAGGGGTGTAAATTTTTACCCACCCCAGCAATTCAGAGCACACGCTCAGGGCGTGGTACAAATGCCCGTTTTGGGCCTCCCCCCCCTCGCGCGGTCCATCAACAAGGAACATTAAGCAGCAACAAGCAGAACTGTAACAGTGGAAACTGGAAGCTGCAACTGGCACAAAAAACTGCGAAGCTTCGGCCTACAGCCTGGTGGCCCCACAAGGGGGCCGGCGGATTATGGGAGTGCATTTTTTTGCCCTCTAAAAAAAGAAACTGGCCTAACATTTTCGACGGTCTGCGCGGATTTCTTGGATCTGCGCTGGGTCCCCCTGGCAGCGCCTCTGGCGCCGCCCCAGGCGCGCTCCGCGCGCCATACAGGAAGGGGGGGGGGTCCAGCTTCGATCGAAGAAGTCCTCGCGGACATTCGAGAGTTGGGAGTTGGTGTTTGTGTCATTCCTTTTTGTTATCCTATAGTTCTGCCGCGAAAAAGACTCTGGAGCTCCCGGGAGGTATCCCGAGTCAATCGCAACAGGACGTTACCCTCGTCCCAGGCCTTAGCTCAGGCCGTTCCGCCACCCCGTCACTCGCTACACGTACACGCTGGTCGCTGAAAGTATGTTTTTTTTTTGATTCCCAGATCCCAATATTCTTCAAGCGCGTTCCTACTTCAATCGTCGAGCGGTTTCCCTCTTCCCTCCTCGTCAGGGGGCGGGCGGAAGCCCAATCCACTGCCAATGCCATCCTACTTCATGTTTCCACGCACTTCTTCCCCGACCAACAGGGTAGGAGTGACCCTTCGCTGGAGTGTCCTCGGGTGCGCGGGTTCTGGGCGGTGCGGCGGAGCCAAGCCCAAGAGCGCAGGCCGCTGCTGCCGTGCCGCGTGCAACGATCGGCAAGCTGCGCACCAGAGGTCACTCGCTCCTGGGGTCGCTCTTGTGTGTAGCCGACGTCAGCACTGCGCCCGCCCGCGCGCGCGCGCGCCCGCGCGCGCGCCCGCGCCCACCCGCGCCGCTGGCCCCATGTCCGAGGCGGGCGCCAGCGAAGGGCCCCAGGCCGCTGAGGAGGCGCCCGCTGCATCGGAAGCGGCGCCCGCTGCATCGGAGGCGGCGCCCGCCGCCGCCGAGGAGGCGCCCGCTGCCGCCGCCGAGGAGGCGCCCGCCGCCGCCGCCGAGGAGGCGCCCGCCGACGCCGCCGCCGAAGAGGCGCCCGCCGCCGCCGCCGAGGAGGCGCCCGCCGCCGCCGCCGCCGCCGAGGAGGCGCCGGCAGCCGCCGCCGAGGAGGCGCCGGCAGCCGCGGCCGAGGAGGCACTGGCAGCGTCGGAGACGCCCGCCGCCTCGGAGGAGGCGCGCGCCGCCGCCGAGGAGGCGCCCGTTGCCGCTGAGGAGACGCCTGCAGCCGACGCCGAGGTGGCTGCTGGCGCGGGGGCGGGGTCGCCTCCAGCGGAGGGTGCGCCCGCCGCGGGGGAGCAGGCGCCCGCCTCGGCAGATGAGGCGCCCGCTGCGCTGGAGGGGGCGCCCGCCGCGGCCGAGGACCCGGCGGGGGAGGCGAACAGCGCCTCCGCCGCAGGGGAAGCGGCGGCCGCGGAAGGCACCGCCGAGGGCCCCGCCGGCGTCGGCGCCGGGGATGCGGGCACCGCCCCAGCGGAGCTGGTGGACGCCGCTGCGCCGGCGCAGGGCGAGCTGCTGGCCACGCTGTACGTGGAACCGGGCGCTGCGGGCACAGTGCTGCTCGTGGCGCGGGAGTTGGGGCCTGGCAGGCTCAGCTGGAAGCTCAACGAGCCCCTGCTCCCAAGCATCCTCGCCCTCGGCTCAGCCCCGCCGCCGAACGCTGGGGGCGAGGCAGGCCCAGGGCCGTCAGAGCCAGCGGCGCCTCAAGGCGATCCCGAACCGGGCCGAGGGCCCGCGGATCCAGAGCCCGTGGAGGTGACGCTCAGGAAGCGCGCGGACTTCGTCGGCGCCTTCGCGGAACGTCTCGCGGAGCTCCCGACCGCGCCCGAGGGCAGTCCCGCGGTGCAAGCGATAGTCCTGGGCCTGCTGGAATGGCACGAGGCGCTGCCACAGGACGACCAGGACTCCTACAACGGGCTCTGGGACGAGCTTCGCCGTTGCACGGCGCAGAAGCTGGGGAAGGCGGCTGACGGATCCTCGCGGCTGCAGGTGCTCAGGCTCACGGCAGATCAACGCGTGCGCCTTGAGGAGACTTGCGGCAGCCCAGAGGCAGTGAAGGCCCTGGCCGGCGAGCAGCCCCAGCCCTCGTGGGCCGTAGGCCACTTCCTCGAGGCCGTGGGGCCGCGACTTCGGGCGGCGGCCGCGGCTGCAGAGGCGACGGCCGCCGCCGACGCAGAGGAGCGTCGCAGGCGCGAGGAGGCGGCGGCCATCAGGATCCAGGCAGCCGCCCGCGGGAACTCCGCGCGCAGCCAGGCGCGCGGCCTGCGGGGCGCCCGTGCCACCGAGGCCTCCGCCGCGCCCGCGGCACGCCCGGGCAGCGCGGCAGCCACCGAGGCGCCCGCCGCGGCGCGGCCGGGCAGCGCGGAAGCCTCCGAGGCGCCCGCGGCTCAGGAGGGCGGAGCGGCGCCGCCGCCCGGCGAGGAGGCGGCGCAGGAGGGCCGCGCGGCACCGCCGCCGCCTGGCGAGGAGGCAGGCGCGCCGCCCGCCGGTGCCGTCGTCTACGTTATCGCGCCCGTGCTCGCCGACGGCGAGGAGC